TGAGAAAACCACTCCGGTTATTCAGCTTGTTCGTGTCCTCGCTTCTCTTTGCCCACAGTTCTGAAGTGGAATAAAAGATGATGTAAGCACTGATCAGAATCTAAGAACTTCAGTAAACCAAGAAGTCCAGCAGAAGGATTGGGTCCATTGTTGTTGTTTGTTTTTATGCTTTAAACTATTTGCTGTTCTTTTAAATTACAAGCCTGGAGGGTTATTTCCCATGAAAGTGCCTTAAAGATGAAACAAATATAATCCCACACCATTGAGAGTTAAATTTCACACACACACACACACACACACACACACACACACACACAAAAACACATTAAGTGGTTAAGTTCATTATAAATTTAAAAATCTAGTATATTTTTGAAGGAATGCATATAATTTGTGTCAGACAACTCAGATTACATGTTGTGAAATGACGGAGTTGCAGTTGCAGCTACAGATAATTCTTTGTCATTCGCACCTCATGTGGTGCATGTGGTGGAGCCACCACATGCACCACATGAGGTGCGAATGACAAAGAATCTCTGACTCTGATATAGCAACGCCTCGTGCAACCTGTAGGAGCTCAGAGTCCGTGCAGCGAATGACTCTCAGCTACCACCACATCAAGTTTGAGTGTGATATCTGTAAAATCGATGGAGTTATGGACATTCCTGTGCTGGCTAATTTTGATTATCTGTAGCAACCATCTTGAAATGGGTTGACTCTAAAAATTTATCAGTTCTGGATCTACACCAAATGTTCATTTTCTGAAAGTTTCATTAAAATTAATCTTGTGAGTCATGAGATATTTTGCTAACAGACAAAGTTGAATCCAACAGTTAATGCCAAAGTTTTAGGTAAAAACGTCAAATGCATGAACTATGTGTTTGGTATAATGCTCAGCTACTACTACAACATATCTTTGTGCAGTATCTGAAAGACTTACTGAGTTAGAGCCATTTTTGCGAATCCTAAGGTTTATTGGCTGTCATGGCCATCTTGAATTGGATTAACTGTAAAAGTTTATCAGTTGTAGATGCACATGTAATGAATGTTTACTGAATGTTTTAATACAATCCAACTAGTGCTTAATGAGATGTTTTGCTAACAGAGTTGAATCCAGTAGCTGTAAGGTTGAAGTAAAGATCTTGTTTTATCTGTTGGAGCTCAAACCAGATGTTGGACAACACTGGTTTCTAGCTCAATATTTAATCAACTGACAGAACTGCAGCCATTTTTTCTAGTTTCTAGTGTTGGATGTTGAGATTCTGTCACACTTTTTGTGTTTTGTAGCCACCAGTACACCCAATCAGACTTAAAACCTGTAAATGAATAAATAAATGTTTTTAGCTCAAAATCCAATAAAGTGACACTCTCCTTTAAAAACAAGACGTCTTTCCTTTCTAAACCTGACCCTAACGTGTTAACAAGTTGGTTCCAGTGGTAAAGAGCAACAATGTTTTATTAAAGTCAGCTTCTCAGGAGTAGTTAATGGAGACTGTAAACCTGTCAGGTACATCGTCTTTTAGTTTAGAGCTCCTCAGACTAAAAACATCTTGATCAGCAACAAAGGGATTTTAGAGTTTTTAACTCAGGTCTTTGAATATTGAGTCTACTGGGTATAAACTGTGTTTTAGAGGTACTGAGCCTGCTGATACCGGTAGTTTCATCCTTTACGGGATGTTTTTTAAAGATACTTTTACAGCCTAACAAGAGAATAACGGGCCTTTTATATTATCGTCTATACGACATGGTTCGACTCGGTTCTGCACGGTTCCAAGGCTTTTCCGCTAGCAATGATTCATGGAACCAGCCCCTTTTTCAGGACCCATTTTGCTCCAGGTCCAACTGTGCCGTGCTGGCCTTAATACGTGACGTCAGAACACTGTCAGTCTCTGATTGGTCAGGGGGTGGAGTCGATGGTTGTTTGAGAAACTTTTACAACAACCCAATCCGACATTTGCAATAACTCGAACTTGGTGGAACGGCTGGATCTATTTTAAAGATTTTAAAACAATAAGAACACTGTGGTCTAATGCTGAAGTTCAGGTGTTTTACGTGTTTGGTGGACAACAACAAAATTCAGAAAGAGCTGGATGGAGCTCCGCCGGTCCCCCCGGTCCTCTCCTCGGAGCCCCCTCAGGCCGGGCAGGGTGTCATCTTCCCAGCTCCGAGCGCCGCTGGTCACCGCGGAGGATCCTCCGTGCTGCCGACATGCAGGAGCGTGCGAAGCCGGACCCCGAGCCCCGGCAGGCAGGGGAGGACTGGACGGGTCTGGGACGGAGGATTGAAATGATTTTTAAAAATATTTTATGTATAAAAACTAATGGATTTTTTTTTCATCAGTGAAGATTAAAAATAAATAAACTGTGCTGACTTTATCATGAAATCTTGTTTTCACTTTAATTACTTTATTTAATAATCTGTTAAAGTTGACTCAGCTGAAAAATCATAAAAAGACACAAAATTATTGGATCTCATGAATATTTCCCTCAAATATGTTTAAAGAAGAGACACAGCCTTTAGATCAACTTTATTCTAACCCACAGACGTACAAATCACAAAATAAGAATTAAACTTTAAAGCAAAGCTAAAATAATATAATAATCTGTACATAAGAAACAAAACCACACATCTAAATTGAACAATAAAAGTAGACGCAATGAGTGCAAAGACATCAAATGATCAAAAACTACAATTTTAAATATAGATGTTTTTGTAGCAGGAGATGTGTATATATATATATATATATATATATATATATGTGTATGTGTGTGTTTAATTTGAAAATTTTAATAATCTGTATTCTTTTTAATTTACCAGAAACTTCTAAATAAATTCTCACCCTGTATACGAAGCCTGTTCCAGGGTCTTACCACCACCAGCTGGTGAGGCGCGTGACGTCAGTTTTCGAACTCTGAACCCGCCCACTGGAACCATTACACTGGAGTTTAGTGGAAAACCAGCTGTGCCATGCTGAACTGGCACTAATGGAAAAGAGGCATAAATGAATAAATTGACCTTTGGCTGTAAGTCACTGGTTGCTTTGTTGTTAACATGTTATGTAGTTTTATTTTTCTACCGTCTATGATCTAAACATGTACAATAATAATAAGATCTTTGAGTGCACTAACTGAACCTGCATTCATCTCTGTTCAAAGCTATTTTTAGCTCAGTCACATGATCAAACAGCTGAAACCAAAGATTAATCTTTATAATCACACGTTGACAGAATCAGTTCATGGGTTTGTCTCTCCAGCTGCCTGAAACTGCAGATTTTTAAAGATGTGGCCGGACCTTGAGTGAAAATCCTCCACCGAGGCATCAACTGTTTGGAAAAACAGCATATTTACATAAATTGGTCCATAACCCAGGGAGGGGGTCTTTCAGTGGTAAATCTATCCCAGTTTGAATCTTTCTAATGGTTGGTTTGTTTGTTTTATTTCTCTGACTCCAAGGAGGGAATTTGTTTAGAAGTTGCTCCCTGTGCGTTTCTGAACCAACATGGCCGAGCTGTGTGAAGAGTTCTGCGCCGGGTCCAGTTAATTTCGTGACCAGCTTTTAGCCGCCGTCCTGTTGGACTCCTCCAATCAGCATCACTCAGCAGAGTCCGACCCTTAAATTTACCGAGCTCTCCCGATGCCGTCTGAGCGGTAATTACATCTGCCAGAGACGGAGACATGTGCTTGTTACCCCGTCTCATCACTCAGTCTGCTGTGTTCGTGGTTAAACGGTACTAATTGGCACTTCTGAGTGTTTCGCGTCCCCCTCACCTGGAGTGGCCTCTTTCGTCACCACCTCCCCCTCAGACAGACTGTGAATTTAAACCCTCCCCCTTCTCTGCGGCAGCTGCCGACGACGTTATCGGACCCCCGAGGAGTGCATTCCCAAAGGGTAATTCGCCCATCTCCTCGTGCACTTTACCTAAAAGCCTTCTCACTGGAAGGCTGATGCAGGCAGTGCTCCCCGGTGTCATTTAAATTCAGCCTGGCTTCAAATGCCACGGGGAGCCATCGCAGTAAATACTGTTACACGGGCGCATAAAAGAAAAATAAAAGACACCTGTGGCCTAATGAAGGTTGGTGATCTCAGCGGAGAAATCCGATTAAAAGCAACAAAAATAAATAAATAAAGCTTTTTAGGTGAGACTTTGCTTTTTCTGGGCATCCCTGAAGTGTTTTAAGTGTACGGTTTGTCATCCTGGTGACAGGCTTTCGTACAAAGGCGTTTTTTTTTTTCTTCCCTTTTCTTTTCTCAACAAAGACACAACCTTGATTAGGAAGGTTTGCTTTACTCTGAAGGGATGTGTGTTTTAATCACAGATCCTGGATCTCCTTAATGAGGCCCGCTCCAGCTGGAGAGCTGTCAGCGCGGCTGCTTTGATCAGTGGCCCGTGGACGCGGGATTACATCGCTAACACTCCGCGCTAATGTAACCACAAGTCAACCGCTTCACACACTCGTGTCCAAACACAAAGACACGCCAAAGACGAATGCAAATGGAGGAAGTCTCCAATAAAAACACCTGACTCATGCTGAAGGGGGATCCAGTGAACCGGTATGCTCTTTGGGTCAGGCTCTTTTATCTCTCCACGTCTGTTCGGGACTGTTTGAGTTTTCAGCTTGAAGTCTCTGCCAACGAGCGCTTATTGAGAAAGGTCCAAAACTCAGCCCTGACACAGACCGGCTCTAGAGACTAATGGCTTGTAGCTCCCAACATATGTTGTTTTGTGTAATTGCCTTAATTGCTGTCATTGTATGTAATAGTTGGGCTTTTTCATCTTCCCTGGTGGTGGAGGCATTCTGCTAATTATATCTGTCAGCTCTGCAGCCAAATCTCAGCGTTTCACACTGAATTTAGAGCAGCAGGGACTTCTGAACCAGACTTTCTGTAAACTCTTGTTGGTTCCTTACCGTGACTTATTTTAATTAGAGTGTGGTAAACCGAGCTTTGATTTTTCTGAACTGTCGAACATTAAAATTAAAGTTAGTAATTTGTTTTCTCTACAGGTACGACACGATCACCAACACATGGGAGACGGTTTCTCCTCTTCCTAAACCGGTTCATTCAGCGGCTGCCACTGTGTGCGGAGGGAAGGTCTACGTTTTCGGGGGCGTGAACGAAGCCGGGCGCTCGGCGGGCGTCCTTCAGTCGTATGTCCCTCAGAGCAACGCCTGGAGTTTCATCGAATCGCCCATGATAGGTAAGAAGAGTGGAAATGCAAACCCAGCTTGTCGTCCTGATCTTATTTGCTACCATCACTTGCGTGGCCTGGTGTAGTTACTACAGCGTTCGTGTCGTTTGCTGTGTTTTCATGTAGACGAAACCATTTCTAAACCTGATGAGAAAAAAGATCATTTTGGAAAAACAGCGTTCCCGTGTGGACGGGACCTAAGATGTTCGTATGCTTTGACCACAAGTCACAGATGAACTTCTATCAAACTCTAAGAGAAGAAACTAGATTTATGCACATTTTCATTTATCACTTTAGCTCATTTAAACCAGTGGTCATCCACTGATGGTGTGCGGCCCCTTGGGGCCCACAGGGTGGGCAGTGTTCAGACTTGTTAAAGCAGCAATTTATCCCAGGTCAACTTTACCTTTGAGGCTCTGGGGATGTGACATTTTCCTTTTCTGACCAAGAACAAATGGTGTAGCTTCATGTTTCCTACAAGCATTTTGCATCGATATCACAATAAAGCATATGGGGAGTGGTGGCGCAGAGGTTAGAGAAGGTGGGCCTGTGATCGGAAGGTCGCTGGTTCAACTCCCCAGACTGACGACATCAAAATGTGGGTGGGATAGGTGAAACATCCACCCTTACTTGTGCCACTCTGGGCACCTGAGCAAGGCCCATCCCCCACCGTCTGCTCCCCCAGGTGCTCCCCCAGGTGCTCCCCCAGGTGCTCCCCCAGGTGCTCCCCCAGGAGCCCTAGATAGCAGCACCCTGCTCCACACAGAGGGCTGTGGTAGCTCGGTGGTCTGTGGTTGTGTCAGGAAGGACATACGGCGTAAAAACAATTAAGTTTTTGTGTGAGTTAGTTTGCTGTGGTGACCCCTGAAGAAGGAGCTGCTGAAGGAGGAAAAATAATCACAAAAGTGCATAAGCAAAGGAGTGCCCTGCCAGTCAGCAGCTACATCTACAAATTAGTTTGTTGTTCCTCAGTGAGTAAGTTTTGCTACAACGTTAGCAGTAAGTGTGATTAAAATAAAAGCTTTAGTTAATGCTAATTGTTGTTAAATACTCCAAAATTCATGCTTAATAACTCAGGTTCAAAAAAATCCAATAATGTTCAGACAGGTCATCTGGACTTTTTTTTTTGCTGAGATGTTTTGTCCTTTAAGTTCTTTGGATGAATGATGAAATGTCTCAGCAAAAATAAAATAAATAAAATAAAATAAATCACAAGCAAGCTGTTTTTTCCTCTACGGGAGTGTGCTGTTTGTGGAAAACAGTTTGTTGGTGGTTCCTCATATTGAAGAAGTCATTTGGATGAAGGACGAAACATCTCGGCAACAAAAGAAATCGTCCAGATAATTTGACTGGACACTGTTGGACTGTTAAATACTGTTTCTTTTTATACTTTATAGTTCTGCTATTTTTAGGTCTAACTGGGACCTTGAGTACACAATTTCATTCCACCTCATGTACCACATGTGATGCGAATGACAATAAAAATAATATACACATGAAACAAGCTAATTAGACCTAAACGTCATCAGTTCATTGGTTTGTTTTATTATTGTAGATCTACAGCAGGAAGTGTTTTAGGTAAGGTTTTCATGCACATGTTTCACTTGTCTCCTGTCTTTAAGCAGACATGTCCTGTTATTGTCAGATACAAGCACTGGACTGAAAATTAGAGAAAAGCCCCAAGAAAAACTTTGAAAGACCTTGGGAAAGCTCAATCACGACCTCTTTAAGAGATTTCCAGAAAAGAAAGTCTAGATCCTCGTGGATAAAATGGACATAAATGAACAGTGGTTTAAACTTCTTCACAGTGCCGGTGTGTATTTGTATCAGTCGTTTTACTTGCATGCACTTTACTCATTCCCATCTTGCTGTCACATTAGACTGTAACAAGGAGTCACTGGCCCTCAATTATGGTTGCCTAGCAACGGCAATCCCACGATTTTATCCACTCCAACGTGTTTCGTTCCCAATCTGCAGTCAGAACCACAAACGCCTCGTGGCTGAGCCGCGGTGCGGCCAAAAATGTTTTGGGGCAGAAACGCCCGAGTGCTTTGTGTGACCGTGGATGTCTCATATTCCATGCGTTGATCCACTTTTTTAAAGATCAGAGTTTATTTTCACGTTCTCCGAGCGCCCAGAGGAAAACAAAGCCAGCTACGCTGAAGTGTGAACCCAGTGAGACCTCGTCTGTACACCCAGTTTTAGTCCTTAAAGCTTGTTTTGGTGAAAATAAATTGTAGTCTTACCCATGGCAACAACAACCCCTTCCATATCAGATTACGACTGTTTTCCATTCATCTTGCTTCTCTTCCTTATCATAATTATCACCCTGCTCTGTGTTTTCCAACATATCCCCTCGTCCCACATTATTGCTCTGTCAATGTAATAAAAAGACCATTGAGAAATGATAGGTGAGTCCGACCACAGCTCCTGACACGTTATTGGCCAAACCTGGAAGAGCATTACAGCCCGAGCCACCGGGGACCTTTAAAGGATTCAGAGCCACAAGAATTACTCCAGCCGAGCTGCCATAACTCCAGGGCAGCCGGAAAAACACAGAGTACACCGCAGTGCAACGCAAAGGTCCACAAGACGTGTTCCCAGAGTAAAGATCGCCTCCGCAGGCAGGTGTTTTAACAAATAACTATACTTGTAACGTTCTGCGTGAGGGCGATTGCTGTGATTTAAACATTTTTTTACTTTTTTCGCAAGGGTTTTTTTTGTTCTACAATCAGGCCTGGACAATAAACCGTTACACGCACGTGAAATTTAAACCCTCTCCACAAAATGTGTTGAAGCATTAAGCAGATTATTTTTGGTTTTGTGGGGCATTATGTGCGTGAATATTGGTTAACTGAGTGTAGTTCCCAGGCAACCAGCGAAGAATGTCGGAAGGTACTGATCCGGTTTAGAGAACAGCAAAGAAACAAACCAAAACAGACAGAATGTTGAAAGTGACATTCTGAGACTGACAAACAATTTAACTCATCTCTCTGTGAGTTTGTAACGTGCAGTCAGTTTAATTTCTAATCTCTGATCTAATCCTAGCTAATAAATCCATAGTTCAGATCTTTTGAAGTGGAGTTCTGTTGAAAGGTTACAAATAGTTAATATCTTACCTGTTGTCAGTAGCTCTTTGAAAAGCCTCACTTTGGAGAAATTAACTGAACCAGATTGATGACCTAAACGTTACTCCAAGTGTGGCCAGGATCAAAGTGGGTTACTTTTATCTTAAACCAACTCTGGACTCAAACATTTCATGCAGGAAATGACACGTTACACACAGGAAGTGTTACAGCTAGCTCCTCCTAGCTAGCTAGTTGCTGCTGCCGTTTGCACTGGCAGTAAACAAGAATTCAGAGTAAATTACCATATATGTGAAACCTGCAAAGTCAAGGAGGGATTTATGAGGGGCGCAGTTTTGAGTGTGTTCTGTACAGCAGGAAGTAAATGCCAAATGCTAATTTGTTGTTATTGTTGTTTGTTTTAATTGTTCCCTGAAGTAGAGCCAGAAAAATAAACCAGTATTTGCCAGTAAGGAGCTTTTTATTTTTATTATCCAATCTGAGCTAGAGTAGCATTCGGTCTGAAAAAATCCGACCTGGCCCGGCCCCATCCCGTAGCCATCATTTCCGAACCCAACCCGATCCGACGAATTAACAGTAATTACAGGTCCAATACCCGAACCCCCCCCCAATATTTTTAACTAAGCTTTGACTGCTTATATAGTTATTAACGGTCGGTGTGGCTGATTAAAAAGGGGCCAAAAATCAGAGCTGAGGGGGTGTTTGTCCTTTCATGGCCAACAAAGTGCATTAAATCCCTGCTTCTGCCTGAATTCTGCATTATTCAGACACGGACCCTGCTCTGACATGTCAAATATTTTGGGATCTCGCCTGTTTGGGTCATCAGCCACGCGCGTCTGTTGAGTGCAGCTGAATCTTTTTTTAAATTACACCACCTTGTAAAGGAAAGAACAAAGATGCCTCATTTATTTGAACGTCTTTCTTTACTTTAACTGATTTTTTTTTTTTTTTTTTTTTACCTCTTTCAAGGCCAGTCAACGCGCGGACAAATGGCCGCGTGTGACAGATATGTATGGCAAGTCATGTTACCATATAATTGGATTGTCAGCCGCGCACGTCTGCTGATGCAATAAAAAGCCCGACACCGGCCCGCACATTATTATGGGTCAGGCCGGGCCAGGGTTAGAAAGTACAGCTCTAATCTGAGCTGTACTTTGGGTTAATAAAATATTATAAAGGCAAGAACATTGTTTGCTTTAATTAATTAGACCATGATTTGAAGCAAAAATAAAAAGCCATGACAACTGAATAACATCTGATTCAAAAATACTAAATGAATAAAATGTTAAACACTCACACTGAGCTTCTCTAGTAAATTACTCTTAATGTAAGGACTGTCAAAATAAATACACAAATGGCATACATCATCCCAAAGCCTACATTATATGGGGTAACTGCTTGCCATACTCCACCCCCTGTGGCTCTCCGGTGCTGCTCATGCTCACAGTTGAATTGAACCCAAGAGGCAGATCTTTAGCTTCATGTTAGTTTGATGCACAGTCCTTTAAATAGTAGTAGTATCTGCTTTTGTCTCTTTTCTGTCATGACTGTTAAAAAGATATATTTAAATAAAACATGTGCCTGCTTTTAGATAGAAGCAGTGACAAACATATTTATTGTGTACTTTATAGAACTTGTCCAAAACTCCAGTACTGTGACAGTTCTGTTTGGATACATGAACCGTTAACCACCCGATGTATCAAGTAGCATTCATATAAAATGATTTGACTTTTTTAGACTGTAATTGTTTTAAAATGGTGACGATCCACATTAGTCCTGGTCCATCTTGGACCAACATTTAGCTCATCAATCCAGACAGAATTAAACTCTTGTTTTTCCAAAGTGAGGTCTTTTCATGAGCTATCTAAAACAGGTAAGATATTTTGTGCTCATACTTTTCCACAAAACCCCACTTAGCTTGTG